GGCAGCAAGCAATCGCTAAGTGCTCATTCTCCACTGAGCTGCCTGAGGAGCTTGCTGACCCTTGCTGTGCTATTAATGAGCATGTCAGATGTGTTTTTTCTCCTTTCTTCAAAGATCATTTTGTTTTGGTTGTAGTTGTCTTGGGTTATTTTTTCTTTTTCTTTTTTTTTTAGTCTTTTAAAAATGTTTAATTATTTTATTTGGTTGATTTAGTTTTTAAAAACTAATTTAAACTTAGATGTTTTATTGAGTATTTTTTCTGATTTTGTTGTTGTGATTTTATGTAATTATCATTTTGCTTCTTCCTTTTCTGACTACTGCACTAAGCAAAGGAAATATTTAAAGGAAAGCAAAAATATAGTCCCCATTTTCAAGAAGCTAACATTCTTTTTTTTTCCTTTGTTGTTTTGTTTTATTGCTTCATTCTTGTGATTCCTGCCATCAGTTCTAATTGTCCTTTACATCATGACTAATAGTAAAATACGCTTAATATGAATGTATAAGTAGAGCCTGTATCAGATTGCATGCCATCGTGGGGAGGGGGGAGGAGAAGGAGATGGAGAAAATTTAAAACTCAAAATCTTATGGAAGTGAATGTTGAAAACTAAAAATAAATAAATAAATAGTTTAAAAATTAAAAATTAACGAGAAGAATGAATATTCTAATGAGAGGTGGACCTGTTCTAATGAGAGGCTGGGGGAGATGACTGATCACTCAGTCTTGGACAATCTCTATACTCATATCACTCCAGTTTGGTGATCTAGATAAAAGGATCTACCCCCTGCCCAGACCTGCCAGAGTGGCCCACAATGGGCTAGAATTCACCTTAGATTAAATCCTTTACAACTTCACTGGTTGTGTAACGTGTCCCACCCAGGACGGAAGGACATCTACCCCAGGGATTTGGGTAATCTTATCCATTGATAATACCCATTAGAGACTGAAAAACTTACACACTCCTGAAAAAAACTGTTGGTCCTAAGTCATTAATTGGCCAGTTTTGCTTTTTAGGGCATTCTTCTCCTCATTAGCTTTTTGGACCTCTTTTGCCATTTGGGTTAGGCTGTTTTTTAAGGTGTTATTTCTTCAGTATTTTTTTGGGTCTCCTTCAGGAGGCCGTTGACTTGTTTTTCATGATTTTCTTGCATCACTCTCATTTGTCTTCCCAGTTTTTCCTCTACTTCTCTTACTTGCTTCTCATTTTTTTAATATAAATTTATTTATTTTTAGTTTTCAACAGTCACTTCCACAAGATTTTGAATTCCACATTTTCACCCCATCTTGCCCCTCCCCCCACCCCAAGATAGCATGCATTCTGAATACCCCTTCCCCTAGTCTGCCCTCCCAAGAAGCTAACATTCTAACAGGAGAGAAAATCTGCAAGTATCAGTGTGTGTGTGTGTGTGTGTGTGTGTGTGTGTGTGTGTGTGTGTGCGCGTGTGTGCATGCATGCACAGAGGCCCACTCACGCACACAATTTATACAGTGTAAATGGAATGGAAGCTCAGGGGGAAAGCACTTGAGGGAAGGAGAAAGGACCAGGAAAGGTCTCCTGCAGAAGATGGGTGAGCTGAAACTTGCAGGAAATCAGAGAAGCCAGGTGAGGAGGGAGTGTTCCAGGCATAGAGGTGGGGCAATGAGGGGAGGGGGCAACAGGCTAGTGAAAAGACATAGAATCAAGAGTTGATGGAGTGTCTTATACGAGGAACAGCAAGAAGACCCTTGCTGCTGGATCAGAGAGTGTGTGGAGTGAAATTTCCCATCAGAAATCTTTTCCCTTCACTAAGTCCTTTCTGATGCAGCTTAAACTCATTTTATCTGCACTCCCCTCAGTAAGGACGCCAAGCATCTAGTAACCCTTAAGAGACATGAAGACCGTGATTGTTCTACCTGAATCTTCTCTTTTCCAGGCCGAGTCACCTTAGTTTCTTTCATCTCTCCTTCGGTCCTTACTGGAGACCCCCCATTTTCTGTTTGGGCTGAGCACTGAATTTGGGAAGCAGCTTTCTCAAGCTGGGCATGAGGTGTCAGTGCGTCATTGACTAACTCGAATGACCTCCCAATGGAGCCCTGCCCTTACAAATAATTGATGTATCCTGATGTCAAAGCAGACAGCAAACTCATTCATTCATCAGGTTTTTGTGGTGTAGGCTACCTGCCTCACAGAAAGCACTGTACTAGCTGGGCACGATGAGGGGTGTGAAGAGAGTTTATTCATGGCCATGGTTCAGCGGTATTCCTGTGACCTTGAACTGTCACTTATACTCTTTCATCCTCAATTTTTTACCTGTAAAATGGAGATAATATTGACATGACCTAACTTACAAGGTTATTGTGAACCATAAAATCTTAGAGTTGGAAGGGACCTAAGAAATTATCTAGCTCAACACTTTCTCAGATGATGAGTCTCTTAGGGCAGTTAGGTGGTGCAGTGGATAAAGCCTCAAGTCAGAAAGGCCTGAGTTCAAATCCAGGTTCAGATATACACTAGCTGTGTGACACTGGTCAAGTCGCTTAACTTCTGTTGATCTCAAGGTCCTCAACTGTACAATGGAAATAATACTAGCATCTACCTCCTGGGGTTGTTGTGAGGGTCTGACGAGGCAATATTTGCAAAGTACTTAGCAGACTGTCTGGCACATAGTAGACACTATGTAAATATTAGCTATTATTAATTTATTATTATTGTTATTATTATGATCCCTTCTATACTATCTCTGACAAGTGGTCAATCAGGTTCAAATGAGGTGATATAGGTAAAAGTTTTTTTTAACCATAAGTTTGCCTATAGTACAGTGAGTTGGTTAGTGAGTAAATTTTTTATTAAATTCCTGCAACGTACTGGATGGGCAGCTAGATGCTGCACTGCATAGAGTTCTGGGCCTGGAATTAGGGAGACTCCTCTTCCTGAATTCAAATCTGGCCTCAGGCACTTACTAGCTGGTTGACCCTAAGCAAGTCACTTTACCCTGTTTGCCTCAGTTTCCTCATCTGTAAAATGAGCTGGAGAAGGAAATGACAAACTATTCCAGTATCTTTGCCAAGAAAACCCCAAATAGGGTCATGAAGAGTTGGATGTGACTGGAAAACAACAACTACGTGCCACACACATTGTGCTGAGTGCTGGGGATCCCCCAAAATGGTCCCATTCTCAAAGAACTCACAGTCTGCTGGGGGAGACAATATGCAAACAACTACGTACAAACGGGTTATATTTAATAAATAAATAAATTAGATAATAAATCAACTGGGGATGAATTAGATGTATGATCGGGAAAGACTTCTTATAGAAGGTGGGATTTTAGCTGGGATTTGAAGGCAGGTGCAGAAGCCAGGAGATGGAGATAAGGGAAAGAAAATCATCGCATAGGATATTATTATTATTACATTATTATTATTATTATCATTAAAGAAGGGATCGATGTGGAGTGAGATTGAGCAGGGAAGATTTCTTGGAGAAGACGGCTCTTATGACAGATCTGGAATGCAAACCCAGCCAGGAAGATTTTATTAAGCACCTGCTATGGTCGAACACCGAGACTAGATGCTGAGGATATAGTTGTATTTTTTAAACTGTCCCTGCTTGTAAAGAACTTAGCATCTGTTGGGGATCTATGTTGATGTTTGTCGTTTGTTCTCGAAGAGGACCATGATATCAGGGAGGTGATGTCATGACTTGCAATGGAATTCGATTTGGGGGAGGGGGGGCTGTGCAAAGTCACCAGCTTCATTTTCTCCTCTAGAGCCATCTGGGTCCAACGGCCAGATGTAGATCAAGATGACTGGAGATGGCCCTAGATGCAGTGGGGAACCTTGGGCGTTTTCAAGCTAAGGTCTTTCCCAAGTCTCAGTTTAACTGAGTAGGGAAAAGTTAAATAAATATATGATGTAGATGGACTGGAAATTGGTTGAAGGTCATTTGAAGGAGCAAGAGGGGCACTAAATCACAAGGACTGGAATGGATGAGGCCTGTGAAGGAAGAGCTAAGTAGAAATGGCCTGGTTGCAGAAGAGGAACCTCAATGGGGAGTGTTACTGTGGAGAGGATGTCTATATGATCTTATTGCCTTGGGCTGGGACCCCAGGGTTTTAACCTCTTGGAGGAGACTTGATCTTACCCTTTCATAATTGGTAAACTGAACAGAGAGCTATATTGTCAATAGAAATATCTTCCATTCTTGAAGGATCTATGATCTCACCAATATCTGAAAATTCCCTTCCCCAGTGAAACTCATCCATGCCTTACCATCCAATGTGATTTTCGTTCATGTCCTTTTGCAAACCTCCTGCAGAGTTTCTACCCAGAACATTACAAGATGCCCTCTAGATTTTTTAATATTTTGTCAATATCAGAACACAGCCCGGTAGCACAGTGGAGCTTGTGCCTGGTATCAGGAAGGCTCATCTTTTTGAGTTCAAATCCAGCCTCAGACACTTACTAGCCATGTAACCCTGGGCAAGTCACTTAACCCTGTTTGCCTCAGTTTCCACATCTGTAAAATGAGCTGGAAAAGGAAATGGCAAACCACTCCAGGGCTTTGCCAAGAAAACCCCAAATGGGGTCACAGAGAGTGGGATATGACTGAAATGATTAAACAAAAACAATATCAATGCAATGCAAATGTGAGCAGTCTATCTGTTCTTTTTATACATGGCAGCCTTTTCCAATCATCTATCTATAGTAGAAATACAAAAATGAAAAATGAATTTTGAAAAGCAAAGTCCAATTTGTCAATAAGCTTTTACCAAGCACCTAATGTGTACTAGGCACTCTGCTCAGTGCTGAGGATACAATAGAAAGCAAAAGAAAAGTCTTGCTCTCAAACTAGTGGGGAGAGATAAAGTGCTAGCAACTCCATGTGGAAAAGATATAATACAGGATAAATTGGAGATGGTCAACAGAGGTGGGTTGGATGAGTCTGGTAGGGTTTCTTTGTCCTCATCCCTACACCAGCTCCCCGTTGTTCTTAAGCAGAATTCCCTCTTATCTTTCCTGCCAGCTGTGGACATGGATGGAGGACCTGCAGAAGGAGCTGCTGGAAGATGTGTGCGCCGACTCGGTGGATGCTGTCCAGGAGCTGATCAAGCAGTTCCAGCAGCAGCAGACAGCCACTCTGGACGCCACGCTCAACGTCATCAAGGAAGGAGAAGACCTTATTCAGCAACTCAGGTCAGTGTCACTTCTCCAGGCTGAGGTCTGTAGGAGGAGAGGGAGAAAGGAACCGGAAGGTCATCTGAGCTACTGGAGAGAGCCTTCAGTGGGCATCAGGAGGCCTAAGTTCTAGATTTAACTGACCATTACTGGCCGTATGATCTTCACCAAGTCTCTTGTGCCTTGATTAGTCCAGCTGTAAAATGAGGACAAAAAGTACCCTGTCACCTAACCTATCTCACAAAATAGCCATGAGGAATAAAAGGAGACAAGTGTGGAAGTGCTTTGAAAAAGAACCTTTAAATTCTTAGGGTAGTATTCAGCAGCAAACATTTCCATTGCAGTGGTAAATGTGGGGCCATTTCGACACAGTGTTGTCTCGAAATCCTTTGAAGCACTCAGACTGGTTGTTTGGCACCACAGAGACATTCCCGTTATGAAATGTCACATCGTGTAGCATTTGATCTGATGCCAACCTGCAGAATTGGGAGGATGAGAGCTCACTTTGGCACCAGCTTATGAGAATATAGGGATGATATGATTTGGTGATATGGTCAATTTTGATTAGTCACAGACGAATTCATCGGCATTATTTCTGGGCTACTTAACAAGTTTATTTTAAATTGTCCCAAACAAAAGACAATTAAGAAGGAAAATACCTTTCAAAACTTTTTGATCCTATATTTCATCCCAGAGTAATGTTTGTAATTTCATAATTATCTACCCCACTAAGCTCTCCCCATTAGTAATTCAATTAACTAAATATTTATTAAGCATATACTTTATGCAAAACTTTATGCTAGGAACTGAGAAGTATATAAATATGACTAATACATAGTCCTGCCATGAAGGAGCGTAATATCTAATAGTGGGTATAAGACTGGATGCAATATGGAGCATTATTAGAAAGTTTAATTCAATCCAATTCAGTAAGCATTTATTAATTAAGCTCTTAATATGTGAAAGGCTCTATGTTAAGATTATAAAGACAAAAATGAGTTGTCCTCAACAAGCTTGCATTCTACTTATGGGGGAGTGAGGAGATACAAACAAAATGTTATTGGGATTCTAATAAAGGAAGTCAGGGTCACTTCTGGCTGGGGGTGTCAGGAAAGGTTTCATCAAGGAGTACTTAAGAATGAATAGGATTTTGACAGGCAGAGTTGGGGGGTAGGGAGGTGTTCCAGTTGGATGGAAAAGTGTGAACAAAGGCAGAAAGTTGAGAGTGCTTCTAGATGTATTTGGGGAGTAACAGTCCATTTTGGCTAAGGCATAAGGGTCACAAAGAGAAATGCTGGAAAGTAAGTCTGGAAAAGTAGGTTGGGGCTAAGATTATAGAGAACATTGAATGCCAGCCAGAAAACCTAGGATTGTACTTGGTAGACATTACTACTTTATAGTTTATCATACTTGTAAAAGACTTTGGTATTTTCAAAAAAAGATGCTATGGAGTCCTCGGCATCTCACTACGTGCCCAGGTGCTAAAAGAATATGTTTTGATAAAGATAATGATGCCATATTGGAAGTCATTGGAGGTGACATGTTATACAGGAATGACCGCTGGATCTGGAGTCAGAGAGTCTGGCTTCAAATTCCACTCTTGGCAGCTGTATGACCTTGGACAAGTCATCTCACCTCTCTGGGCCTCAGCTTCTTCATCTGTAAATGATGGAGCTGGCCCAGAAGGCCTTTCTTGTTCTCAATCCATGATCCTATGAATTGTTCCTCTCCTTGAAGTGGTGATCTAAGGATAACAGAATTTATATGGCAAACAGCATAGGCAATCTCATTATCTCACCAACCGACTCCTTCACCTCGGGTGTGAGAGAATAAACTCAATCAGAGATTTGTTTTCGTACTCATTGCTCAATTAAATAAACAAATTTAGAAAGTATGAACTTAATTTTCAGTTGTAATTTTGGAGGTTTCTATCCCAAACAACCCCAGAGATTCTCCAGGTTCTCCAGTGGAATCACTAACCAAACAGTCTTAGAAACCTGCATCTGCACTGACTGTTCCTGTGAGCTCCCCCCTCCCTATGTCTGCATCTTCCTTTTAGCTCACAGCCTATCTCAAGTGTCATTTGCTTCATAAAGCCTTAATTAATTGCTTCCCCTTCCCCTAGGTATAAGTATCCCTCCCTCCTCAGTTCTTTCATCCTTCTCTAAGCTGCCTTATTCACTTAGTCATATTTAAATTTGCATTTTAATGTTGGTGCTATTATCACTCCCGTTTTATAGTTGGGAAAACTGAGGTTGACAGGTTAAATGATTTGTCCAAGGTTATACAGCCAGTAAATGTGTGAGGTTGGATTTGAATTCAGATCTTCCTGGACTCCAGCCCCAGTAGTCTATACACTGTACCACCTAAAGGCCTCCAAATAAAAATAAAAGGTTTGCAAAGCAATTTATATATGTTAACTGCAGAGGACTTGGCTTCGAATTTTGCCTCTCACATTTACTGCCCAAGTAATCTTGGGCAAAGACCTGTTCATTCTCAATTTATGTATATGTCCTTCATTTTATGTGCATGTGTTTTCTCAGCAAAGATACTGGAGTGGTTTGACATTTTCTTTCCTAGCTCATTTTACAGATGAGGAACTGAGGCAAACAGGGTTAAGTGGCTTGCCCAGGGTCACATAGCTAGGAAGTGTCTGAAGTCAGATTTGAACTCAGGAAGATGAGTCTTCCTGACTCCAGGCCCTGTGCTCTATCCAGTGCACTACCTAGCTGCCCTTTTATGTATGTATGCTATCCTTTGTTTTATGTATGTATGGTGATTGTATTGGAAGCAGTTACATGTCTCAGTGGAGAGCACTGGCCTGGAGTCAGGAAGACCTAAGTTCAAATTCGGCCTCAGACACTTACTAGCTGTGTGACCCTGGGCAAGTCACTTTACCGCTGTTTGCTTTAATTCACTGGAGAAGGAAATAGGAAACCACGTCAGTGTCTTTGCCAAGAAAATCCTGTGGAGAATATTGATGTGCCATGGTTCACGTATGATCCTGTGAAGAGTCAGACACGACTGAATGATTGAACAACAACAACAAATGAATGTATGGTGAGGAAGCTGAACTAGATGGCCTCTGAAGTATCTTCCAAGTCTAGGTCTGTGATTCTATGATGAATTCACCCTTGTGTCCTCAGCTCCTTGTATATGTGATCAGATTCAGTACTTAATTCTGGCCACAAAAACGGAAAAAAAGGAAGGGAGGAAGGGAGGGAGGAAGGAAGGAAGGAAGGAAGGAAGGAAGGAAGGAAGGAAGGAAGGAAGGAAGGAAGGAAGGAAGGAAGGAAGGAAGGAAGGAAGGAAGGAAGGAAAGAAATGAAGGAAGATACAGAGGGAGAAGGAAAGAAGGAAAAGAAGGAAGGAAGAAAGGAAAGGAAGGAAAGGAAGGAAGGAAGGAAGGAAGGAAGGAAGGAAGGAAGGAAGGAAGAAGGAAGGAAGAAGGAAAGGAAGGAAGGAAGGAAGGAAGGAAGGAAGGAAGGAAGGAAGGAAGGAAGGAAGGAAGGAAGGAAGGAAGGAAGGAAAGGAAAGGAAAGGAAAGGAAAGGAAAGGAAAGGAAAGGAAAGGAAAGAAGGAAAGGAAAGGAAAGGAAAGGAAGGAAGGAAAGGAAGGAAGGAAGGAAAAGGAAGGAAGAAGGAAGGAAGGAAGGAAAGGAAGGAAGATACAGAGGGAGAAGGAAAGAAGGAAAAGAAGGAAGGAAGAAAGGAAAGGAAGGAAAGGAAAGGATGGAAGGAACAGAGGGAGAGAAGGAAGGAAAGAAGGAAGGAAGGAAGGAAGAAGGAAGGAAGGAAGGAAGGAAGGAAGGAAGGAAAGGAAAGAGGGAAGGAAGGAGGGAAGGAACAAAGGAAGGAAGGAAGGAAAGGAGGAAGGAAGGAAGGAAGGAAGGAAGGAAGGAAGGAAGGAAGGAAGGAAGAAGGAAGGAAGGAAGGAAGGAAGGAAGATACAGAGGGAGAGAAGGAAGGAAAGAAAGGAAGGGAAGGAAGGAAGGAAAGAAAGGAAAGATAGGAAGGAACCCAGATTCTGGGATGATTGTATTAGCTATTCCTCTCAGGTCTGTGTTATTTACAAATCTAAAAGTAAATTTTCATAGATACTAGAGAAGACCAAGGACAGAATCTAAACAAATTCTAGCCTCAAGGGGTCAAAGGAGGATGCACATCAGTGAAGGAGACAGAAATAGAAGGTAGATATGGAAAAGAAGAAGGAAGAAAAGTGTGGGGTCTCAGAAGCCAAGAAAGTAGCAAATATCCTAAAGAAGGGTGGTTCAACAGCGTGGAATGCTATAGTTTGGCTAAGGAAGATGGGAGAGTTTGCCAACCAAGCTCTTTTAAATTTTGATCCTGGTCTTAATAGTTATATAAATTTTATAGCTATTGTTTTATTATTATAAGTTATTATTTATTAATATGGTATTATAGCTGTATAAATTTTATAGCTATTATTTTATGATAAATTATTATATGTTAATATGAGTATTACATTATTGTAGTTTTAGAAGTATTATAACTATTATTTTATTAAAATTATTATACATCCATATCATAGCTATTATTATAGTTATACAAATATTACAGTTTCCACATAAGGCAGCATATTCTGATTAAGAGGACATGGTCTAGTTTTGTGTTGGTTTTGTATAAGATAATTCTCCCAGTGGGTAGAGACAATGAAGACAGAAGGAAATATTCCATCTCTGTGTGGAAGTTAGATACATCCAGAGAAAAGCTCTTTTTTTCACCCTCAGGCTGAATTTATAGACCCAGCAAGAGGTGTCTCACATACAATGCTGGTCATAGTGAAAGGGGACCAGATGAAAGAGTAGATAATTCAGTAGAAAAACCTTATCAGTTCAGGGAACTCAAGCACATGCCCAACTGACAATGGGCCATTAACATTTTCCTTTTTCTCTTTTTTGTTGAATTTTATTTTCATGGTGACAGAGTGCATAGAACCCTGGGCCTGGAATCATTAAGATCTGAGTTCAAATGCAACCTCAGACACTTCCTGTGACTCTGGACAAGTTATTTAATCCTTTTTGCCTCAGTTTCCTCATCTATAAAATGAGCTGGAGAAAGAAATGGCAAACTACCCCAGTAACTTTGCCAAGAAAACCCCTAATGGGGTCATGAAAAGTCAGACATGACAGGACAACCAAACAGCATGTACCAGACTCTGTGTTAAGCTCTGGGGAATACAATTTAATTCAACAAGCATTTATTAAGTACCTACTATATGCCAGAAACTAAGCTAGATGGGGAGATGAGGAGGAGAGTGGTGTAGGAAAATGGATACAAAGACAAAAGAAAATGACTCTTGCTGTCCTGGAGCTTACATTCCCCAATTTCATTGTTGTTTCTTCGTTTCTACCACACATCTTCTGCTTTAACCAAGCCAGTCTATTTGTTGCCCCTTTTAAAAACAATATGGTATGCCTCACCCCTGCTTTGGTGCATATCATCCCGCCTTTGGAATAACCCTATCTCTCCTCCTACTGGTCAACTAGTCTATGTCAGTTTCCATTTTTAGGGCCTAACTGAACTTTTTTTCCTTTCAGGAAACCTTTGCCAACTATCTACCCCACACTGGTGTGACGACTCCTTTACTGTTTCCTGAGCACTTAGGCCTTCAAGCTATAATTCTAGCATATTCCACTTGTCAGCTGTGTTCTTTTTCATTCTTCTCCAATTGTTTGATATCTATTTTCATTTGTATTTTGTCTCCCCCAAATACACTGTAAATTTCTTATGATCAGGATATCATTTTTTTTGTTGGCGGGGGGAGTCATTCATGAAGATTTATATGTCACTCTCTGCTTTCCAAAAGACTTTTACGTGATTACATTTGATCTTCTAAAACCACTGGGTGCAACAGTCAAGCAATAATCGCCTTTTGCCTCTATTGCCCAGTTTGGTGTTTCCATGCACATGGTAAAGGGCAAAGAGACAGTGGGATAGAGTAGAAAGAACACTGGATTGGGAACCAGGAGTCTAGTGTTCTAATCCTCATTCAGCCTCTAATTAGCTGTGAGCATCTTGTTTTCCTTCTCTGGTACCGTTTCCTCCTCTGTTGAATGAGGATGTTGGGTTTCTGAGATCCCTTTCAACTTGTTTATTGAAATATATGGACTTCCTCAGAGCTTTGGCTTTGTATTTTGGCTCCATTGCTAGGCGTACCATAGAGACTCGGGTTCTGTTAGATGGCATATGTAACATTTTGCACATTGCCCTTCTTTTCTTCCTGCTCTGCTACAGGGACTCAGCGGTGTCCAGCAACAAGACGCCTCATAATAGTTCCATCAGCCACATCGAATCGGTCCTGCAGCAGCTGGATGAAGCTCAAGTGCAGATGGAAGAGCTTTTCCATGAGCGCAAAATCAAGCTGGACATCTTCCTACAGCTCCGGATCTTTGAGCAATACACCATTGAGGTAATAGGCTAACTTTGTGTGGAACTGACGTTAGGGGCCAGTGGCTAGAGTGGTGAGGAACTGGATCACGTAAGTGGAGGAAGAAGCATAGCACAGGAGATAAACCATCAGGAGTCAGAAGATCTGGGTTCAAATCCTCCCTTGGGCGCTTAGTCCTTGTGTGACCTCAAGCAAGTCACTTAACCTTTGCGGGCCTGTTTCCTCATCTGTAAAATGAAGGAACTGGACTAGATGACCTCTCAGGTTCCTTTCAGCCTAAGTCTATGATCCTATGCCAAAGACACAAGGAAAGGGATTTGCTAACTAATAGTCTCTGGGAGATGGTGTAAGATGATATGTTATAATTGTACATTTTTAGATGTGATCTAATTCATTTATAATGGGCCAAGGGGATTCTTGACCCTCTACACACTGATTCATCATTCCTCATCCCCCACGACTATGTGTGTTTGTGTCTTTTTATCTATGTACACTAAAAACCCATTTTTACATGATTTCACTTGATCCTCAGAATCACCCTTTGTGGTAGCAGGACACTCGTTATGTTTTTGTCTATATTGCCTGGCATGGTGCTGCCATGTACAAAGTAAAGGAGAAAGAGATAGTATGATATAGTCAGAAGAACATTGAACTAGGAGCCAGGACACATGGGTTCTGATCTTGGCTTTGCCACTAACTGTGGGTAAGTCATTTCTACTTTCTGGGCCTCAGTTTCCTCATCTATAAAATGAGGGAGTTGTACTAGACACCACTGATACAGAGCCCCATCTCTGTTGGCTTTTTTTAATCTGTGTATGAATTTTCTGGAATATTTTGACAATACCATGGAGTACCCCCATTCCCTACTCTCCAGGCAAATTTATTTCACTGTGACTTTGCTTATTAAGGGGTTTTCAAAGTCTCTCATTGTTAGCAAGTGGGCTAATCAGTCATGGCCTTACTTCACTATCAGCTAGACTGCGCAGTGGATTGAATGCCAGGCCTGGAGTTAGGAAGACCCATCTTCACGAGTTCAAATCCAGCCTCAGACACTTACTAGCTGTGTGACCCTGGGAAAGTCACTTCACCCTGTTTGCCTCAGTTTCCTCATCTGTAAAATGAACGGGAGAAGAAAATGGCAAGCCGCTCTAGTATCTTTGCCAAGAAAACCCCAAAACGGGGTCATAAAGAGTCAGACATGACTCCATAGAACAACAACAGGAATCAGGAAGGGGAACAGGCTGTTTTCAAAAGCAAGTGGTATTCTCAGCACTAGGCTTGCTGTATATATAGATCAAAGTGACTGGTGCACTTGTCCAAGATAGCAGGACACAGAGTGGAAACATGCTGGCAAACAGAAAACTCATACACCCCCTAAAGCTAAGAAATTGTCCTGAGTTAGTCCTACAGCAATTAAGAGAGCAGATTAAAAGACTGATGAATGAAAAACAAAGTTTTGTCCCTACTCCACAGGCTAATCAGTCCGTTTCTGAAACCCCATAGTCGGGTACCATATTATATCTCCTTGCATATTTCATCTTCTGGTATAACAGCCCTGCCCCATAAAAGCAATGACCATATGTCCCAGATTTCTGGGTCGGTCCCATTTTCAAGAATAGAATGTGTCTTTTTAGATAGACTTCACAAAAGGGAATAGTCTTTGTCAGGCCATGTGTTCTGATTGGAAGAGGATTGGTTTTGGACAATATGGTCCAGGTGCCTGTAATCCAGGGGCTTGCAGAATTCATCTCCCCCCAGCCCCACCTATCATCTAAGGGTAGAATTATCAGGAAGGAAAATTGTGGCAGCAAATGGAGTCATTTTCCATCTGTGCTTTATATTACTATTCTCTCTTGCCAAATCACCACATGGCCCTCCGATCTGGAACGTTCAAGCTCAGTGTATTTGAACATGCTGTTGTTGAGGTCAAGGTTGCTGGTTTAATTTCTGTATGAGTCAGATGTACTTCCCTCCATTCCATTGCCACCAACCATACCCCCTCTGGTCCCATCAACTAGCCATATGAGCTATGTCTCTGTTTACATCGGGACTGAGGGAAAGTGTTAATAATTCAGTGTAAATCCAATTTCTCTCCTTAAATAACAGTCTCAAGTATATGCTCTGTATATGGTGAATCTTTGTAGAAGAGTATTCATTTTAGGCAATAGAAGGTATTCTAGAAAAGTAGAGTATAAATCAAAGTTTTTATCAGCCAGATTATGTCTTAACTGCAACAATAGGACAAATTGTTATTTAAAAGAATCCTTTGGTGAACTCTTGTAAATAAAAAAAAATCATTCATCCCCAAAATATTATTTGTATAATGATTATTTTTCACATATTGGGTTTGCTTTAAGAGTAGTCTCTTGGCTGGTTTTGGATGAGTCTTGAACCTTGTTTATTGAGGGCTGCTCAAAAAACATGCCACCTCCAAATATCTCTCCAACTTGTCTATAACCATTCCCTCAGATTTTACAGTTTATAATTCTTATGTTTATAGGCTTGGTCCATATCAAAATGCATATACTCCTAATAGGGTTACACATTAAGTGCTTGTTAGCAGTTAACATTTCAGTATTTATTAGAACAGTTTTTGGTGGGGAAAGGGAAGGACAGACAAACATGATGATGGTAGTTGACAGAGGAAGAGGGCACCACAACTGGATAAAGGGGGAGGACTTGGCAGGGTGTTGAAAGGACACAGAAAACAAGCTTTGGCTACTTCGGATTTTTTTTGTTTGTTTTTGTTTTTGTTTTTTTAAGGCAATTGGGGTTAAGTGACTTGCCTAGGGAAACAGCTAGTAAATGTCAAGTGTTTGGTCTGAATCCAGATTTGAACTCATGTCCTCCTAACTCCAGGGCCGGTGCTCTTTCCACTGCTCCACCTAGCTGCCCCTAAGTCAGAATTTTTCCCAAAGCTGACTCGTTTTAGGTATTCCTCTGTATGTCATTGGCAAATGTAGATACTGGGTACACATGTTTATTAACTACTTGTGAGATGCAAGCACTGTGCTAGGTTCTATGATAGGTGCAGAGATCAACAAGACATAGCAAGGGAAATCAGATAGCCACACAAATAATAATGATACCGGTTAGAACATGGTGCCTGCATAAGAGATGGAGAAACTAAGCTGTAAAGTGAGGTCTGCCTGTATAAATGCAGACATTTTCCCTCAAGTATTATTGAAGTTGAATATATCTCCCTACCTAGCTTTGGTAAAATCATCAAATCATAATTCAATGCCTAAGTTGTGCAACTTAGCATATCTGTTTTTTTAAGTAGAAAATATTTTCATGAACTATGTATATATTTAAAAACCGTTGGTGGGGCAGCTGGGTGGCATAGTGGATAGAGCACTGGCCCTGGAGTCAGGGGGACCTGAGTTCAGATCGACATCTGATACATAGCACTCACTAGCTGTGTGACCCCTGGGCAAGTCATTTAACTCCAATTGCCTCACCAAAAACAAACAACAACAACAAAAAAACCATTGGCAAAAAAAAAAAACCAAACAGAAACATTGGCAAGTAACCTAATTTATCATTCAGACTCCTTTCTGAGACTGTAAATTGCAGATGAGTTCCAATCTGTATTGGTAGAAAGAGCTTCCATTATAGGAATTCCCAACAGAGATGAAACCATAGGTCTCTTTTTTCCTTCTCTCCCCTCTGCCCGCTCTACATGTGTTTTAAGAACAGAAAATGTCCTAGAGCAGTTACTGTTGTGGTTTTTTTTAAAATCCATTTATTCAAAATGATATAATAAAAACTCAATCATGAAGGTAATATGCTGTGTGGTACATAATGTTAATTGTAGATTAATAAGGGGAAAAGTGAGAAGGGGTTTAAGGATTATTTCTTGACCCCAGAACTCTGAGAAAGTCCTTATTTGGCTCCTCGAGGAATTTATGATTGAACTAAATATTTCTTATTACAAAAAAGTTTGCCTAAACTGAAAACAGATTAACATCTGTAGTTTAGTGGGGACAGCACCAAAACACTGGACTGAGAGAAAAGAGATCAGAGTTCTAGTACCTAACTAGCTATGTGACCTGGGGAAAATTTCTTAACTCCTCTGAGTGTCAGTTTCCTCATCTTTAAAACAAGGAGGTAGGCTGGATCTCTAAGGTCAAATGAAACATTAAATTATTTTTTTAAAATGTCTAATTCCCTGAAATTCACTGAGCTTTGCAAAGTGAAAGAACATTGAGCAATGTGCTGTGCTTAAAAGTCAGGTGATGAATCAATCAGCAAAGCACCTATTAAGCACCTACTATGTACCAGGATGAGTAGGTGGCACAGTGGATAGAGTGCCAGTCCTGGAGTCAGGAAGACCTGAGTTCAGATCTGTACTCAGACACTAGCTGTGTGACCCTATGCAAGTCACTTAACCCTGTTTGCCTCAGTTTCCTCATCTATAAAATGAGCTGGAAAAGGAAATGGCAAACCACTCCAGTATCTTTGCCAAGAAAACCCCAAATGGGGTCATGAAGGCTGAGCATTCTATACCAGATACCAGATGCTGTATTAAGCACTGGGGAATACAAAGACAAAAAGTGAAACAGACCTCCCTCTCCACCTGCCCTTAAGGAATTTATATTCTAATAGGGAGGGATAGTATGTACATATATAAGATAGCATGTACATATATAATATGTGCAAAATTAACACACAATAATTTAGGGAGGAATGACACTAGGAGCTGGAGGGGTGGGGATCAGGAGCAGCTTTATGTAGAAGGTGGGATTGGTGCTGTCTGGAAGGAAACCAGGTATTCTAAGAGGCAGAAGTGAGTAACAGGCATGGAGACAGCCAATGCAAAGGCCTGGAGATGGGAGATAGAGCATTGTGTAGGTGTGGGGAGTAGTAGGTAGTCTGGCTTAATACTTGATAAAAATCCAATGAATTTTGTGTTTGTCCTCTGGATATAACCCAAATTCCTTGCCCTTCAGGGGTTCCTAGGTCGCCCATCACCAATGATGTAGCAAGGTTTTCTATACTATAGAAATATACTATTTCTATACTATACTATTTTCTATACGATCACAGCTAAAAGATCCAGACAAAATTCTGTCATCATGTTAGGTCAGTATATTAAAGTGAATTTCTGAATTAATCTAAAAAGTCAGGTCCTTCTAGATTTCCTGAGATAAAATGCATATAATTGCTTTAATTTATTATTCCTCCTAAAACAATTTTAAGTTCTACACAAAATCATGAAGTCTTAAATTGGTCTGAAATGATTATAGTAATTAGAGGTGATCTTGCATCATGGATAAAGAGCTGGCCTTGGAGTCAGAAAGACCCAGGTTCAAATCCTGCCTCTGATCACATCATGACTGTGTAAGTCAGGGCATTTAACCCCTCAGTGGCTCAATTTGGTTGGTTCTTCTACTTAGACTCTAAGTTTCTGAAGCAGTTGGATACCTACATCAGAAGAGCCAAAGCCACAGTCAGAGCTCAAGTGTCCTGGCTCCTAATTCAGGGTTCTTCCCACTGTACCACACTGTCTTGGTCTTTTATTCCGTTCATGAGAGCCCTATCCTGGGCAATGACTGCCCTGCTAAGCAGATAAAATCACACGTCCTGGCTGTCCCTCCCCTGTCCTCCCCAGCATAATAATAAAGACCTCCCTCAGAGCCCTGTAGGGAGGCTCAAGTAAGATCATGCATGTAAAACACTATGAAAACGTGTTAAAAGTTACATTTTTTAAAGGGATACATATCTCCTTTGAACTAGGTGTTTTGATCCCCAGCTTTACAAATGAGGAAACTGAGGTGTGGAAAGGTTAAATGGGAATTATGTGAAGTTACACATTTCGAGCACTTGCCTGTCAGAGCTCCCCAGACGTTCCTCCACCTGCTGAAATCACAGGCCTGGATACCTCCCTACTCCCACTCCACAAAATGATAACTAACATAAATTAAGCACTTCCACATTTATAAAATGCTTCGACTAAACATTCCATTTGAGCCTCATAACAAATGTCTAATGTAAGGACTTTTATTTATTCATTCATTCATTCATTCATTCATTTATAATGTAAAGCTTTATTCTCCCATTTTACTGATGAGGAAAGTAAGGTCCAGAGAGGTTAAGTGAATTAATTGCCCACAGTAGCACGGCTATTAAGTGTCCAGGTATTCCTAACTCCAAATCAAAAGCTCTAGCCTCTACGCCAGTGATTCTCAAAGTATTTTCTGAGGACCCTTTGGGAATCCCTGCAACCTTTCAGGGGGTCCTTGAGGCCAAAACTGTTGTATTCAGTTGTTTCAGTCATGTCCAACTCTTTATGACCCCATTTGGGGCTTTCTTGGCGCAGTTCCTGGAGTGGTTTGCCATTTCCTTCTCCAGCTCATTTTACAGATGAGAACACTGAAGCAAACAGGGTAAGTGACTTGCCCAGAGTCACATAGCTAGTAAGTATCTGGATTTGAATTCAGGTCTTCTTAACCTTAGGCTCAGCACTCTATCCACTATATCACTTAGCTGCCTGTCCTAATAATACTGACATTATTTGCTTATTAAAATACTCCTCCCTTTTTCAACTCCATATCTATGTGAGGCCAGATTTTCTTCATACACTTCAACCAAAATTGCAGCAAATTGATTGCAGAACCAGATAGGAGAAACCAATTGTCTTTTATTAAGTCAGCTATTGAAGAGATTTGCAAAAATATACAAAATAATGCCACTCTTCTCACTCTTTTTTTGCTTTGGAAAATATAGTTATTTTTCACTTAAAGTGTTATGTTAAGATACAATGGACTCAGTACTGTTATTTTTAAATATGTTAATATGTATTTTAAACACTTATCACTTTTAATTTCTAATATTGTAAATAGTGGTAAATATAACCTATTTTTTTTTAAAAAAGAGTTCTTTGGGGGATCCTCAATAATTTTTAAGTGTATGAAGTAGTCCTGAGACCAAAGAGTTTGAAAATCACTGCTCTCTCCAGGGTATCTTAAACTTTTTCCACTCACAACCCCTTCAGCATTTCTTAAACAGTTTATGAAGCACTGCTTGCCTTTCCATAACATGACTTATCCATGATCACTCTCTTGTAACATATACAGCCCTTACCTTACAACCATTGAAGTCCTTCTCCTCATGTGCAGAAGCATTCACCTTTGTATACCATGCAAAAGCATTAGTCTACAATTAGGACATAAAAATGATAGGGTATAGTGAAACAGTAGCACATCAGACTATCTAGTTTAAAAACACCAGGCAGGTAAAGGTATTCAGAAGCCTTTGTTAGTGGAAATGACCATGAAGAGACCCTACTCATTCATTAATTCGTTTATTTTTTTATTCATTGGTTTGTTCAATTTACTTATTCATTTGCTTATCTATCTGTCTAACCATCTATCTATCCATCAGTCTATCTATCCATTCATTTATCCATCCCTCCATCTATCAATCTAGCTAGCTAGCACAATAAAAGGCTGCTAAAATCAGCTCACTGATTTTAACATTGAAATCCTACTAGGTCCATGGTAAAAGATAGGCCCCTGCTCCACATCAAGTTGCCCCTGTTGATTTTTATAAAGGGTGAGCTTGTTTTGGATTGCGAGGCATTTAATTTATGTGGGCACATAGCAAATATCCAGGGAAGCAGGCATCCACTTTTCAGTGAAGGCCCTCGGGAAAGAATCAAGCACACATAGAGGTGCCAGAAGTGACCTGACACAAACCAGAGCTGGTTCTGTGATTTCAGGACCCACAGCTGTGGTTTTCCTGTCCACCAAGAAAGCATTTGCTGAGCATGCTCCAGATTCTTGTGGTTTATGAAAAGTCTACAGAGAAATGTGGCCCAGAGAATGGAGGCATTGGGCCATGACCTTGAAGCTTCTTCCCCCTTCATCATGTCGCTAGTTTTATTCACTCATTTAATTATTAAATTAAGAAATATATGATGCTTAAATTGTTGCATCGGATTCTTGAATTGTCATAATAGATTGTATCAGGTCTGAAGAAAACAAAACTGGTTTGGGGCCCAAGACTGGTACTGCCAAAAATAAAAACTTGTCATTCCAAATCTAGAAGGAATCTTATCCAGCACAAGGATGACAGCTCCATTTATAACTCAATTTCTTGGAACTACCAGGAAATACACTGAAAAAAGATATCATGTCCCATTGGGAAGTCCAGTCTTCATAAGTCTTCTCCTCCATAATTAACCTCCATCTATGTCAAGGGCACCCTTGGTTAAGGTAGAATAGGCAATAATAGAGAAGACATGAAGCAGACTTCTGAACAACATGGAACTCAACAGGCAACACTTTTTTCATTCACTATTCCTATCCACTTTAGCACCTAGTAAGAATTTAAGAAATGCATTTTTATTCATTCATTTATTCACTCAGACAATACTTACCCTGAGAGGTTGAACCGTATGCTTACTCTTCTACATAGGCATAACCAGGATGAGGTGACAAAGACTGTCATCTGCACGCCTTGTGGTCCTCCAATGACCCCTCCTCTTGAGGGACACTCAGTACTGGGCAGGCCCTGGGAGATGTAGAGGAAAAGGGGCTGGCATTGTCGGTCACTGGAAGAGAAACAGGAGACAGAACACCCTGTCTATTCACAATTGGACTTTCCTTTGTCTCCTTCTGCCCTCCTTCCATCAACTCTTTTTGCCCCAAGTGAAAAAAATTCCTTCTTATACCTCTATTTTTCTGCTGTCCCACATTTATGTCAAATACTCCTTAAAGCATGTCCAGAACAGTCAGAGCATCTGGGTGGTGGCCTTACCCTAACAAAACCGATTGAACTAAAATTGGTACAAGAGAGGAAGGGCTGAGATTAGGAAGAAAGGTTTATCTGATATGGTTTTAGGAGAGGATAATTCAGCCTAGAGAAGGAGAAGTTGAAGAGTAACTACTGAAAGTGGAATACTGGACTTGGAATCAGATAAGTCCTAGGTTTGAATTCTGGATGTCATCATTAATAACTTAATGACTTTGGGCAACTCCTTTAAACTCTCTGGGCTCAGGGTCCTCATCCGTAAAAAGTGAGATTGGCTCAGTGACTTTTTAGGCCCCTTTCAACTCTAATCTATGATCCTACCAGAAGCACCCACAAGTCCAATGGTACTGAAGCAATTTGAGTTAACCATACTCTGCCACAGCCCTGATAATCTCTACTGTACCCCATCTGGCTTGTTTCCTGGCTTATGGGGTGAGATTTCTACTTGAACAGCATGGCCTCCAGTTTCCCATGCTGCCTGAGGCCAATCTCCTTAATGAGAACTCACTTCAAAACTGGAACACAATCCCTGTGTGTCCTGGCAGACTCAAGTTCAGTGCCACCTCCCCTGGCTACAGATACTGCAGCCACCACAGACCAGCACCCTGACCCATTACTGAAACTTGTTAGTCAAGTCTTTATGTTGAACCAGACCTTGCCTCCCTTTAACTTCTGAAGCACTTAGTTTTTTTCCTAGTTTTTCCCTCTGGGGCCCCTCTTCTCTCTTCCATGTGACATTACTTCAAATATTTGGAGATGGCTTCCATGTCCCCTGCTCCCCCAAGTCTTATCTTCTACAGACTAAATATCTCTGGTTTCACTGGCCAGTCATCCTGAAAGATGGTTTCCAGATGCCTCCACATTCTGATTGTCCTCCCCAGATCCTTTCTTATTTATCAATGTCTCTTAAAATGTGGTACCCAGATTTGAACAAAGAACTCCAGACGTGGTCTGTCCAGTTCAGAGTAGAAGGGAACTAATGACTTCCCATGACTTGGACACCTCATTCCAATTAACACAGGCTGTCCATTCCTTGTTCATGCCTTGTCACGCCTGCATTCTTTTCTAAATACTCATGAACCATCTGCCTGATAATCCATTCTGGAGTTTTGCCAGCCTTGCACTATTTCCTCCCCACCCCTACCCCCACTCATTCCCTTCTTAAGAAAATTGGGCCACCTGCCCTTCTGGACCCTCCCCCATTCACAGTGATTTCTTAAAGATGTCTTCAAATGAGTTTTTGTGAAAAACAAAGGAAGAGACTTACCTTGCATTGTTCCAAAGGGCAGCACCAGTGAGTCAAAGTTGAGAGACTAACAGTATGGCTCAACAGAAGGAAAATCTTTCCAACATTTAGAGCTATCTAGTCATGGAACTGGCTGTGTCTTCAGAGAGTGAGGTCTCCATTATTGTAAGTGTCCAAGTAGAAGCTGCATGATTATTCATCAAGGATGCTTTAGAGAGGATTTTTCCTATTGGGTCAGAATGTGATGGTGAGTGGGAGATCCCATCTGCAATTTTCCTTAACACCTGGCTAAGTGATGCATCTGGGCCAGGAAACTGGAACTGGCTTAGAAGGGACTAGATATTTAACCAATGACCTAGCTCAGGGGTGGGGAACCTGTGGCCTCGAGGCTGAAGGTTCCCCATCCCTGACCTAGCTCCCCATCTCCATTAAAGAGGAAATAGAAGGAATGAATTACTGAGATAGCATGAAGGGTTTGGCATAGCTGTGAGGGGAAAAAAGCTTTCATGGAGTAGGAACTGTCAAACACAGGGATGGGTGACTGTGGCTATGCAAAGCTCGTGTGGGGAGAGCTTTTGAAAACTGAATTGATTTCTCATCTCTCTGGGACCCTGCCCAAACACAGGAGAATAAATGAGATCATCTTAAGATCCTTTCCAAACCCATGTGTTCCAAAAAGTTTTGTGATTGCAGCCTGGTCCCACGTATCATTTGGTGGTAATAAATAAAATGAAGATGAAGGAGGAAATCATAGAAGTAAGTTGACCATAAAAAAAGATTCAATAATTTCTAAGTCTGTTGGAAACAAAGCAAAATTTTGTGGTCCACATTCTTATTGCAAACATGGAACATTCTAAAAAAAATTATCCCTGGACTGTCCTAAGGGATAGTTAATAAGCATTTGTGGTGAGCATTGCTTGGTATCCTCATCTCCTCTATGTATTAGATAACCTACGTAGTTTCTAGGCTTTCCTGGAAAATAGGTGGAGGAAACTGGGGAAGCATATTTCTACTATGGGCAGCTAGGTGGCACAGTGGATAGAGCACCAGGTCTAGAGTTAGGAAGACCTGAGTTCAAATCTGGCCTCGGATACTTACTAGCTGTGTGAACCTGAGCAAGTCACTTAACCCTGCTTGCCTCAGTTTCCTCATCTGTAAATTGAGCTGGAGAAGGAAATGGTAAATCACTCCAGTATCTTTGCCAAGAAAACCCCAAATGGGGTCATGAAGAGTCAGACATGACTGAAACGACTGAACAACAATGAAAGTTTAGTGGAATCGTTTGCCTTTCTGGGCTTCAGTTTCTTCCTCTGTGACATGAGGGTGTTGGACTAGATTTCTCTGAAGTCCCCTCCATATCTGAGTCTGTGATCCCATGATCAGCTTAGCTAAGTTCACACAGACTCATCACCAGGTTGGCTGCTGGATGAAGCTTCTTGGCCATAGCACGTCACAAAGATCATCTATCTACTAAGGCAGAGAGGAGCTACAGTCTTCAGTACTGAAGAGGAGAACTACAATCATTAAGTCACAGATCTTTGAAGTACTGGGCTATAGTCAATAGGCACCAGTCACAATTCCTTTGCTTCCCTATGATATTTGTGCTTCCAGAGCAGTATGGAATAATGCAAAGAAGACTGGATCTAGAGTCACAATTGATTTTGTTGTTCCTTTGTTTTAGTCATATTCAGTTTTTCTTGACCCTGATGGGGTTTTCTTGGCAAAGGTACTGGAGTGATTTGCCATTTTCTTCTTCAGCTCATTTTACAGATGAAGAAACTGATGCAAACAGGGTGAAGTGACTTGCCTAGGCTCACACAGCTAGGAAGTGTCTGAGGCTGGATTTGAACACAGTCCTCTGGATTGTAGATACAGTCACAAGGTTCAAATCTTGTTCTCTCATTGACTAGCTATGTGACCATGGGCAAATCACTGGAAGTCTTTGAGTCTGTTTCTTTATGTGTTAAGTCGTGATAGCAAAGTGGCCTCACCCTCCAGACTATTGTGAGGAATATTTTTTAAATCTAAAGGAATATTTTAACTGGAGAGGCCATTGCCAGCAGATTCGGGTTCCATTGTATATACTCTCCCTCCCATCTCCTCTTCTTCTGAATTCATTATAAATCCAGTTGGACTGGCTGTCTTTGCTGTCAAGTTGGGATGCTTCTCTGGGGAAGCTTGGAGTTCCTCCAATGAGGGATTCGGTCAGTCAGTAAGTATTTATTAAGTGCCTACTATGTACCAGCTATTATACAAAGTACTGGAGATGTAAAGAAAGGCAAAAATACAGTTTCTGCCCTCAAGGAGCTTATAGTCTAGTGGGTTGGGGGTGGAGGAAGTAACAAAATGCAACAACTATGTTAATACAAGATATGAAAAGGATTAGATGACGGGCCCTCTATGAGGTAGAAAGAGGTAGAATGAACATTTGTCCTTGGCCCAAGTCTTCCTTCTTACTATATAATATACTGTCGCTATTTCTAGATAATCAGCTTAGCCAAATAACACTCAATACTCTGCTTTACTATCACTGTGACCCTGCCCCCAGGATACCTACTACCACTGTATTTAGGTACTCTTACTCTGCCTCTTCCTTTTCTCTCCCCTCCCGTATACAACTCAGACTATGAGGGTTCTTAGGATATTTCTTTCACAGAATTTTTCTGTGGAGTCTCAGAATTGTTGGAGACCTCAGTGGTCATCTCATCCGACCTATGCCTGTACAACATGCCTGACAGAAGGTCCCTCAGCCTTTGCATTAAACCCTCCAGTGAGAGAGAATGGCCTGCCAAGGCAGCCCATTCTACTTTCTAAATAGCTGATTATGAGGGTTGTTTTTTTTTTCCTTTTTTCCTCCCTAAACGGAGCCTCAAATCTGTCTCTTGGTAGCTTCCCGTTCTGATTTGAGCTCTGCATTCTGGCACTGAAGAGAACATCATTAGTACATTTAGAAGGAAAAGAATCCTCCTAGAAATCAGGCAGTCAACTTTAGGCAATCAGGGTAACTAAAAGTATTTCTGCCTTGCAATCAGCCCAACCAATGAGCTTCTGAAACATGCCTGACTGGTTAACTTTTTCCTGGACCTAATCAAGCCCATCAGGCAGCTAGACATCCCTACATAACTTTTAATTAAGGAACTACTAGGTGGACTTACACAAACCAGAGGGTCAGGACAAGAGGAAGGTGGTTGGAGTGGAGTCCATGGGTTTAAATACATAAACAAAATATCAGTGTTACAAACAAGAAGTTGACCCAATAATATAACTGAGGTGGGGGGGGAGGAGTCCTGGTTATAATGTATTAATGATATTCATAGGACTATAAATCTAGAGATGAAGGGAACTTCAGAAGCTATCCAATCCAACACCTTCATATTGTTGTTCAATCATTTCAGCCACATCTGACTCTTTGTGACTCCATTTGAGGTTTTCTTGGTGAGGATACTGGAGTGTTTTGCCATTTCCTTCTCCAGCTCCTTTTACAGATGAGGAAACTGAGGCAAACAGGGTTAAGTGACTTGCCCAGGGTCACACAGCTAGTGTCTGAAGCTGGCTTTGAACTCTAGGTTTCCTGACTCCAGGCCAGACACTCTTTCCATTGTACCATCTAGCTTCAATCTAATGTTACAGATGAGGAAATTGAGGCCAAGGGAAATTAAATGACTTGCTTGAGGTCACACAGACTATAAGAGTCAGAGGTAGGATCTGAACCCAAGTCTTCTCGTGGACTATTTTGTAGGATTATGGTTTTTAATCCATTCTGTTCTTGTTTCTATTTTTTTGCCTGTTCTTTTTGTATTACTAATTTATTTATTTTTAGTTTTCAACATTCACTTCCACAAGATTTTGAGTTCCAAATTTTCTCCCCATCTCGTCCCTCCCCTCACCCCAAGACAGCGTGCATTCTGAATACCCCTTCCCCTAATCAGCCCTCCCTTCTAACTCCCCCTTTCTCTCATCCCTTTCCCCTTCTATTTTCCTGTAGGGCGGGATAGACTTCTATATCCCATTGCTTATAAATCTTATTTCCCAGTTGCATGTGAAAACAATTTTTAACATTTGTTTCTAAAACTATGGGTTCCAAATTTTCTCCCTTCCTCCCTCCTCACCCACCCTCATTGAGAGGGCAAGCAACTTGATACAGGTTATACAATATGTGTAATTATGCAAAACACTTCCATAGTAGTCATATTGTGGAAAACTAACTATATTTCCCTTCTTCCTATCCTGCCCCCTGTTTATTCTGTTCTCTCTTTTGACCCTGTCCCCCTTCAGAAGTGTTTGCTTCTGATACCCCCTCTCCCAATCTGCCCTCCCCTTCATCATCCCCCCCTCCTCTTATCTCCTTCCCCCCTATTTTGCTGTAGGGTAGATAGATTTCCATACCCAATTGAGTGTGTTTGGTATTCCCTCCTTAAGCCAAATCTGATGAGAATAAGATTCACTCATTCCCTCTCAGTTTCCCCCACATCCCCTCCATTGTAAAAGCCTTTTCTTATCTGTTTTATGTGAGATAATTTAACCCATTTTACCTCTCCCTTTCTCCTTCTCCCAATATAATCCTCTCTCACCCCTTAGTTTTATTCTTCTTGGACTATTTTGAAACAACATTGGCTGGGGCAGCCTGATGTTCAGTTTACTTCTATGTTGACTATTGTCATTTAATAGAATTTTCCCTTTTGAGTGTGGGATATTTGGATTTTTTTTGCTATTCCCTGATATGGTGCTTCTTAGAAATACCATAACCTTTTTCATCTTTTAAAAAAAGACTTTTGATGTAAGGAAAGTATCTTCACACTCAAATGATTTGCTTATTTCAAGCAATATATTCAGTTCAGTGACATTAAAACACAATGGAACCATTTGGTGTTCATTGTAATGGGATTTGTCCCTACATATAATACATGTGCATATTAGATTTGATTAGATTACATTGCATTGCATTTTCTTCCCCTGCATATTCTCTCTCCAAACCCCTCAATTTTGAGGAGGGAACACACAATGAAATCTCCTAGTCTGCTGGTTACATGAAACAATTGTCGGGTAGTAAAGAATTCAGCTAATGGGCATTGGCCTCAGAAAGAGCTAACAAATGCATTCAGGTGGGCAGAAAAGTGGCAAGTGAGTTTTAATGTGGGCAAATGCAAGGCATAGTGTCTAAGGGGAAATAATTGGAACTCTCTTTAGAAGATGAAGGGCTGTGAATTATTGATTATGACCCAGGAA